CTTTACAGAGATATTTTATAAACAGTCAAGGACTGTAAGGCAGCTAAGTGTTGGGATGCAGAGGGAATAATCAGACACTCAGCTTGGGGTCACAGGGATCTGGTTAATAACAAGCTCCTTTATTATTTTTAATTTTGCAACAACTACTGCATGTTTAGGAAATGTGACTAAGTTCCCTCCCCTCCTTTTCTTATTCTTCTCTGGTATTTTTCAATAAACTCTTTGGCTCTCATGCATTTCTATTGTGAAATATTCTGCTGTGTTGGGGCTCGACATCAAAATACATCAGACTGAGTCATAATCATTTAATAGTTTGTATATTTTAACTATGAAGCTGTTACATCTGTTTAAGCAACATCTCCATTAAACCTTAGTTTAATTAATGTCATGAAGTGTGGTGGTTGGTGGTGAGGAGAGACGCTGAGACCCAGGTTATGGTGATGATGATTATTTAATGAAGGCTCAAAACAGTCCAACACAGGCAGCACGGCAGAGAGACAGGCACACAGCCAAATACCGGTAGCAACTGATAAACAGGACTTGGAGACGAGAGCTAACGCAAGCCAGGACTTAGCAGTTCAACTGGAGCGAACACAAGACGTCCACACGACGTAAGACACAGTTAGACGTAGACAATGACAAGGATCCGACGAGGAACACAGACAACAGGTGGGTTTAAATACACACGGGGTAATTAAGGGAATGCGACACACCTGGGGAGCAATCAACGGGGAGGACAGGACTGAGACTCACAGGAACAGGACTACACAGGAAAAAACTCAAAAATAAACACACAGAAACACGGATCGTGACAATTAATGGAGATGGATACCCTAGTAAAAAAAAGTATACTTTAGTATACTAAATTTGAACATACTTTAGCATTGATGTACTTAAACTGTACTATTTTGGAACAACTTTTTTTGTGCTTAGTGTATTTTAATAGTATTTAAATAGTATTAAATTACAAATTTTAGTAATTTAAAAGTACTTTAACATACTTTTTTGGAACAACTTCAAGTTGTACTTAGTATACTTTAAGTATACTTTTTTATGTACAATTTATATATTTTGAGTGTACTAATTCTGTCATAGAATTATATTAAAAATATACTTTTACTTTAAATATTACTACTAATATATTAGTAATGTATTTAAATTACACTTAATTTTGATTTTTGATTTACTGCTATTGCTAATAAAGTACAACTTTAGTTACACATAAGTCTTTATTCCTATTTTCCTATTTTGTACATTACATGTACTTACATTGTTTTATGCTACAATTACATGGAAATATTAATTACACAAGATGTTCAAGGTAATTCAAATATTTTTGTTTTATTACCGACATTTTAAAATTGTCCAATTTTACTCACAACTTTATGAACTTTACATAAATTATC